CAGGATTGACAAGAAGTGGATAAGTTTGAAGATGTTGAAACACAACAGAACCTGGTGTTATATTGGATGTGGTGTAAAATACAATGCAAGAATAGAGCCTAGTTTCTGTCTTAGTCGCTAAATTGGCACGGAAGTCATTCCCTGGATAGATTGCACAAAGGGAGAGCAGGTCTGGGGGGAAGACTGTGTTCAATGTAGGATGTATCTAGTTTGAAGTACGTGTGATGGTCAGGTTCACAGCTGGTTAGTCTGTGTTTGAAGTACAGGCAAGAGGTCGAAGCCACAGGGAAACGTCGTGACTGACCCCGTATAGACAAGAGAAACCGCCAAGCTTCCTAGGGAGTGTTTGTGTAACAGAAGGCTCCTGAGAGAATAGCAGGATATTTACCTTTTCCTCCTGTATTCAGGACTCTTCTGATCAGTTTTCTAATAATTACATTCTGTGAACAGCATCTTTAATGACAGCTTGGATAATATTCCCTTAATGGATGTACATTTGCTTAACCAGCCACATAGTGTCTGGTTAGTTTTCACTAATGTTTTGCTATTGAAAAGAACCCACAATGAATAGTTGCATTCCCCAAAATTAGTTCCATGGGATGTTAGTAAGCCATGTGTGGGGAAAGTGTGCCAGGGTCAGTAAATACATTTAGAAACCTTGGTTGAGAAAACTATTCAGTATAGGATTCTTGACTGTGGTTTCTCAAATTAAATCTTCGACTGTGTTGTGACTCTCAAGAGGGTATTGCTGTGGTGTGTTTAAACCTGTACTAACCGTGGGGCCATGGCACACCTTTGGGGGGCATTGCTTTCAGGACTAGTGACCACAGGATACTAGTTTCATGGGATACTAACCTATATGCAAAAGGTGCCCCAAAGTTCGACATGTGGTTCCAGAAACTGAATTATCAAATGAACAGGAATGAACGTTGCATCCTAGATGCACAAATACCTTTCTCAAAGGCAAGTACGTTGTTGATGGGAATATAAATTGTTACAAAGACCTGTTCACTATATCCCCCCTCAACTGATAGTGAAGTGTTTAAATCTGCTCTAATTTGGTCACATTTCTATAATTACGGAGAGGCTGATGACTTTTCCGTGTTATTAATTACTTGCTGCTGCTTTTGTGAATATCTTCTCAGGTTTTTTCCTATCTATTGGGATCTTAGCTATTCTTATGAAGATAAGTGGTCTATTTTTACAATCACGTATTATTGCAAAATTTCATGTGTTCATGGCAGTCATTCTCCCAGTTTTGTGTTTTTCAAACTTTTTGGTTATGTTCTTTTTGAACATGTGGGGCTGCTACATTTTTATGAGTCCGTTCTCTAATGCATTTTTTTGTAGTTTTTTTCACTGTTTTTAAGCTAAGAAAGTCCTTATATAAAACTTTATCTAAAGTCATAATAATCACTTCTTGGTTTTTTTGTGGTTATTCCCATTAACTGTTAACCCCTCTGGAATTTATATTACCTTGCTGCCCTTTACCCCCTCAAAAAAAACTAAGTTTTACAGCACTGTTTTCTGAGTAATTTTCCCTTCCTAAATTAACATATTATCCCTATGCTGTCTTCAATAATTTTTATGGAAAAAAAAATGTATCTCCATTTCCTAAATTAGCAAATTGAGGTGAATGGGAATTTATTAGTGGTCAGTTACTTTGGCCAGTTTCAATCTGAAGACAAGCATATTTTGTGGTATCAATGTGATGAAAACATGACATTTATAAGCTGACTTACACTTAATTTGATATTGTGGTAAAAATTTCCCTCCTTGAAGCTCATGGGAGAGATCACTAGGAAAAACAAAAGACTAGTGTGTTTAAAGAAATTGGAAAATTAAGCTGAAGAAAGGAAAGTTTGTTATTAATCCGTGTTACTAAGAAAAGCAGCTACTTTACAAACATCTTCAGGTTTAATTCTTACAATCCACTTTACAGCCCAGAAAGCGGAGACTGAGAAGTTACTTCCCCGAGTCTGGGAGCTAGGAAGGGCAGAGCCGGGATTTCTCTCAGGGCTGTTTATCAGTCCTGCTCCAGTGGGGGTCCGCAGATACGGTCAGGGTCCCCCACAGGAGAATCAGTGTCTGTCCTCTGTCCAAGAGTGACTCATAGCACAGCATTCTGACATTTGTAATGTAAAAGGAGGGATAGAATTAAGGGCCACAGCGCTGAAGCTTTGTAGGCAGGTAGCGCATTGAAAGTCCTTCTCCTACAAGACTGAACTGGGGGACCCTGAAGGTTGACGAAGTTAAGTGTTCCTCCCTGGTGTGGAAACGTCGATGCAGAGGGGTCACCTCATGGCGGGTCAGAAGGTAAGCCTCTCTTATCTGGTCAAGCCCCTCAGCTTGGCTAAATGCACATGAGCTCCTGTTTTCTCAAAGGCTCTCTCTCTGCAAGTTCACATGGACATTTCAGAACAATTCCCCATCTCTCTGCTGCATCTTGCGTTTTCAGACAGCGTTGGTTCATTTTTGAAGCCCCCGTGGTCCGATGTTAAGCCACAGTCGCTCTGCAGAGACAAGTGGTTATTTGTTCCTTCACAGGGCCTGTGCCCTCCAGTATACGGGTTTTGCAGCTAGCTCTCCCTCGGCTGATCCTTTCTCAAGTCCCCCGGGAGCCACTTTTGTGGCAGATTCCATTTGGTCTCACAGGGCCTCCAGGAGGGGCGGTGGGGGCCAGTTGGCAGGGCCCACCAATCTCCCACGTTAGGAGCAATTTGCAAACTGCTCTTGGAGGGAGCTCGAGCCCAGGCCCGAACAGGCTGCTCCTGTTTCCCCCCTCCTCCCCCGCTCCCACATTGTCTGATGGGATAGGGCGCCTTTCCCCAGCTGACCTGCCTGCGAGTGGAGAGATGTGAAAAGTTAGAGACAAAAATGGTTTCTACAGAGGGAGGGGGAGCTTTCTTGTACAGAAAGGAAGGAAATACCTCTGTGGGATTTTATTTTTTTTTCCCCCCTCTTCATCCAAAAAATACAAAGAGACTCTCTGTCTTTAATGCGAATGTCGGCTTTAAATCTTTTAGGTTTGGATTAACTCTGCAAAAGGAAAAAAAAAATCTGACAGGCTTTCAGATATGACGCAGAAAAACTTTTTTCCCCTCAATTCATGTTGTTCATTTGTAAAGCCAAAGGCTGGTGGACTGAATAGTGGGCGCCAGTTGTCCCCCATTCATAGTTAACATCACAATGGTCAGAATTAGCAGCCTCGAGTCTCCACTACCACTTTGGCCTTTTCCACCAGCGGACATTTAATACAAGGTGGCAAAGGCAAGAATAAGTCTTTCTTCTCTTTCCCCCTAACTTAAAATCGATTAAAATTAAGCCAAGTAAACATGGTGTTTTCAGTTACATGACTTAGAATCTTGAATCTTAACTTTTCCCCCCAGCAGGTAAAAGAAATGTGGTTTTTACAGTTGTTACCTTACTAAAAAGCTTCCTTCACTCTCAACAAAACCCACTGACTTGATTGACATTTCCTATTACATAGTTATTGTTGGTTTTCACTATTGAGGATGTCAGCAAACATGTCGAAGATCATGTTTTGCTTACAAAATAAAGTGACTTTTATGTGAATATTTTTCGTGCTGTTGGGGTCTACAATATGGGTGCTATTTCATGGAATCCACGTGGCAACATTTCTTTGCTGAAATTTTTTGTGATAGCATGTTTTTATTTTATCCGTGTTCAGAGCTTTTGATCCATAAAGGGGAAACCCTTATCATTCTTCAGCCAACCCTCTATTGGTAAGCCCGTGTTCATGTAGAAAAAAATTGAAACAGCAGTTCTTGGTCTTCAGTTCAGAGTCAAAATGAATAGGTAATTTGAAACATAATTTACAAGTAGTAGTCTTTCTGTTTGATGAGGATTGATTGATTAGGACTGTTTGTGTGTAATTGTGAAACTGTCTATAAGAATTAAACTCTAGATCATTTTTAACTACTAAACTATGCATACCTGGTTAGAAAAAAGTTCTGTGTGATTTTTTTCATAGAGTGTTAATGTGCTTGCATTAGTTGGCTACTTTTTAATAGGGATATAACAGAGCTTTTACTGAAAATTTACTCTTGATAAACAAATAGACATGAGGTAAAACAAAATACTTCTTTTTATATTATTGTATGACACATTCCTTTTAAGCTCTGTGTAATCTAATTATATTTCAAAGATATTATAATTGCAAAAGTTTAATCAAATTTGTTAATTTTTTAGTCATAGAATCATTTTCTTTGCAACCCAAAAAGCCCTGATATAGCAATTTGGAATTTGATACAAAAGAATTTAAGTTATTTTTTATACACTTTTATTTGGGTTTTACATACTAGATAGTTGGTTTGTCTTTAGCAATTACAGGATGTACCAATACAAATTATGTAAATCTTTAAACAAAAATTAAGATTATTCTACATAATTTCAGCTGAAAATAAAACTATTTTCATAGATATCTGAATTTAGTTATACTATACTCATGCTTTATCTGGATGATTTTTTTAATATGTCATATTTTATAAAAGTAAAGTTAATTTTTATTTGCCAGAAATAGTAAATTTAGTTTCTAGCTAGGATTTATTTTACATGCTGTATTATAAGAGAATTTAATCCAGAATCATTTGAATTTGCTCAAAAAAGGTTAATTTTGGTATTCTAAGTTATGATAAAGGTCAAAGATAGTCTAAGTTATAAAAGAAGGTCAGTTTATTACTCCATGGATTGACCACAATAATAAAAATCTCACATAAAAACATGAAAAGAATTGGCAAATGATAAAACTTTGCTATATTAGCTACTTGAAGGGGAGAAAAAAACAGATGTAGTAAATACATGTTTTAACACTTTTGGCTTTTAATTTCAAATATTTTACAAGTTTACATTTAGAGTTACTGTATACCCTCTTGCAGAATGAGATTCTCAAAATGATTTTACTTAAAATCAAACAAAAACAACATGAATGATGTATTTCTGAGCTTCTAAAGTAACATTGTTTCTGTTGGTTTCCTCAGGCAGCCATGCTGTTCAGTTCTGGAGTCTTTTGGACCGGCCTCCTGTTTATTCCTGTGGCTTCTTTACTTCTTGACGTGGCATACAAGGTGTAAGTGTAATTCTTGGTTTTGTACGTAAAAATACAGATGTAAGTTTATCCTCAGATTTCTCTACTTGTAACGTCAACTCAAGAATGTAGAGTTTGCAGAATAGAAGTTAGTAATAGTCATGAATTCTATATAAGTAAAGAAAGAAGAAAGGAGTGATTGAGGACCTAGAAAACTAAATTAGTAAAGAAGACCAAATAAGAAGTAAAGCAGGTAGTTTCAGTTCACATTAGAGAGCTCGTTTTTAGAAGAAATCATCCTTAAAAACCCATTCAAGGTAGAAGAAAAAATTCTGTTATCTCCAAACACACTATTATGAGTGAATAACAGTTGTGAAATGAAGTTTTTTGCATGCCTGATTCTAAACATATGAAAAATACAGAATGGAAGAAACTAAAACTTTATTAATTTTTCTCAAAGACTATAGGTTTTAAAATGTTATCTCTTCACAAAAAAGTGATATCATTAAAGTTAATTATATGATTCTTATTTAATAACTGAGATTTAATATTATGAACCATTTATTTGAAGTCTGTTATTTCTATACTTATATTAATGCTCAGAATTATTATAACTTCTTCAATTCTATTGAAAAGCTGTTGCTTGTACTCTGGTTACTGTTGTATGTAGCAGCATGATAATAAACCAGTTTTGTAAAGTCTTAAGTCTTCACGCAAATGTTTACATGCAAATCTTTTTCTGCAGTATCAAGAGGACTGCTTTTAAAACATTAGTAGATGAAGTTCAAGAACTGGAGGCGAAATCTCAAGATCCAGGAGCAGTCGTGCTGGGAAAAAGGTAAAATACACTGAATATGTTCTCTTCCAAGTGAACTTTAAATTTATTTTACTAGTGGTTCAAAATAAGTGGTAAAATTTTGTCAATTAACAAGGAGCTGGCAGTGCCACTTACAGATTTTGCAATCAGAGAGATGAGGATTCAAATCCCATCTGTCATTCACTGAGCTAAGTTGCTCAGTGACCTTAGCCAAGTTGCTTAATGCTACTGGGCCTCAATTTTCTCATCTATAAAATGGGGGCGATAATACCTCATGGCTAGTTATAAGAACTGAATAAAATACTATGAATAAAGTAGATAGCTCGGTGTCTGGTGCTTGATGAGCATTAAATAAGTGATAGTTACAAATATTATTGTGTTATTAAACTGAAAGGGATAAAAGAGACTTTTAGCTTGAAACAGTACCCATAATAAAATAGTTTGTCATGAAAATCAGAGCTTGATGTAGGGCAGAGTGCCCTACGATTGCATCTATAGTTCAGTGCATTATTAGGAACTGACCTAGGCATATATCATATACGAAGTGAGTTGTATCTTTCATGTCCTTTCCTTACCCTCAAAAAAAAGCGAGATTAGAAAGCTAATCAGATTCACTAAATTCACAAAGCATTATAAAAAAGAAATGAAAATTAAATTTGAAAGCAGCCCATAATAAAATACAATTATGAATATAATACCAGGTATTTATTTTTCTCTCTTTCATCACACTAAAATGAGCTAAAGTTTTGTCTAAACCATAGGAAACGTTTTGCCCTGGTATATGTCACCTCGGTCATGGTTCGCTGTGATTAGTCTGTTTGACACAGTGGAGTAAGTGCCAGATGGGGAACTCAAGGTGAGACCTTGGCTTCCAGCCCTTACTTGCTTTCCTGAGGCCTCAGGGGCGTGTCGCACATCAGCCTGTGCCTCTGAAAATACGAGCACTGGCATCTGTTGAGGACTGACTGCAAGCCAGGCACTGCACTTAACACTTCAAGTGTACTATCTCCTTGAATCCCTATAACAACTCTATGCAAATCCACCGTCCCCATTTTTTTCCAGATGAGGAAGCTGAGGCTTAGAGAGCCTAAGTTCTCAGTCAGAAGTGACAGAGCTGGGCCTTGAGCTCATGTCAATTGATTCTCAAGCCTCTGCCCCTAACCATTCCGCCTCCTTGTGCTGCCTGTTCAAGAACGTGTTATAGCAAAAAAAGCCTACCACTGACTTGACAAAGTCCTAAACTTCTAAATCAGCATCCCTTTGTATACAATGGGAATGATGATACCTACTTTCAAGGTTCCAGGTATTCTCTTCTCGCCACCTTCCCCTCCATCTCTGTCCCTTCATCTAAAAATCTACAGCTCTTCCATTGCCTGGCACAAATAGTCCCTCAGTTAATTTTTTTATTCTCTTTTTACTCTAGCTGTAAGAAGGATGTGGTAAGATTTCTAGTTCACGAAATGGTGAATAAAACCATTGATCAACAATTATTAGAGAAAGGCCACTGATAATCCTGCTACTCCCCTCAGGAGTCAATTTCCCATATTTCTATGCTAATTAAACTTACACTAAGCCCCTCAACGTGATATTTAGTTTTCGTGGTTTATAGTAAGTATATCAGTGACTTTGACAATTCATAAATCAGGCTGAGGCTTCAATATGATGACCTCTAGGTCCTAAAGATTCAACGAGTCTGTGATGTACGTAGCCCTTTCCACTAAATAAAATGTCAGAAAGCTGAAAAGGAAAGAAGCGAATTCCACCGTAAATGCCCACCAACTTCTCCATAGAAAATGCATCAGACATGTTTCCAACTGCTGCGTAGCTCATTTGTCTAAAATTGCTCTTCACCTTTTCTCGGGACTGTGGAATGAGTCAGCTATTAGCTGAATACCACAGATAAACACCCCCGGTACCTCACATACCCCTTATTGCTGTTGCTGCCCATCAGTGATCAGATGGATAGTGATGGTCAACATGAACATAGTGTCTTCCCACCACATGATAGCTAGAGGAGAAGGAAGAAAAGGTATCTGTGAAGGGAGAAAAATTGCAGCTAGTTGGAAAAGTCTTCATATTAAACTAACTGCATTCTAAGGCAGTTAAGGAATGATCAGATTGGTTTCACTGCCAGGATTGTTTTAGGAATCTTGGAGAATGATCTCAATGTCAAATTTCAGAAAGTTACCTAATGTTACCTACATTTTCGAAGCGGGAGGGAGAGATTGTGATTTCTATGTATTCTAGCAATATCAGACTTCCTTTAGTTCCAAAACACCGCGTTATTTTATGCCCCCCAGTCTTTGCAGTCTGCTCCCTTGTCTAGAAGCTGATACCCTCTTACAGCCTGGGCAGTCCAATCCCTAGCTGTCAAAACCCAGTTCAGATGCAATTACCTCAACTTTTCACAAATAAAATTAATTCCTACTCTGCTATTTCTATAATTTGTTTATTCTTCTGTTTTTACATTTATTACATTATATTATAATGTATGTTTTTACTCTGTTTCCCCTACTAAATTGAGCTCCTTGAAGGAAAGGCCTCTGTCTTAGTCTTAACTGCAACTCAGCACCTAGCATAATGCCAGGAACAGAGTAGCACTTGAAAACTATTTGTTGAATGGATGAATGAATGGTCAAGAGAATGAACTGAGGAATGAATGAATGAATGAATGAATAAATAGTGGAGAGGTGGGTGGTAAATAGATGATTGACCTGTGGGTAGTTAACTAAAAATAGGATACCTAAGAACATAGAATTATATGGGTTATATTGGGAGAATAAATCCAAACCTTACCCCTGATCGCTGTGTAGCCATGGCTTATTATTTTTGATTAAGAAAATGGTGTATAAGCTATGAGACCTGGTTCTTTGTTGTAATTTAAATTGTGTACATGCTCCAAAATTAGGGAGCCGAAGCATTTACAATGCGAAAATCCAAAAAAACTTCAAAAATCAATCTTTTCCCATAGGTTTATAGCAAATATTTGCTGGAAAACCTATACCAATTGTTCTATAAATGTAAAGACATTCGTAGTGGGGGTTTTTTCCTATAATGTAAATAGTTATACATTTTGTAGCAGAAATATTTATTTTGGGGGGCCCCTCAGTTATCACTTGGAGATATTATCTCTGTAAGTTGTGTGTAACATCTTACTTTTTCTAAAACAAAACAAAAAATTTAAGAAGTATAAATTCAAAAGCCTGAAAGATTAAAATAAGGGACTGTGGACAGTGAGTTCATTGGAGACAAGCAATGATGTCCAGTTTTGGATATCTTCCATGTGCATGTGAAGCGGTGCATCCTGTAGACAGGCAGATATAATAATGAGACTCATGGGTCTTTATATCTAACATTAGCCAGCATATCATCATCAGCCATTACTAAAGAGAATTTTAGCCCAGGATCTTCAGGTCAGTCCTCATTCATTTGCACATCACCTTTGTTTGGCCCACAGCCTCAGCTTTAAAGAAAATGTAAGGAAGTGTGGATGTCAGATAATCTGGTCATGTGGATGGTGATGGTGGTCTCTCCCAGCTTTCTCTGTATTGTTTATCTTAATGAAAAGCACTTTTAACATTGCCACAGAACTAAATTAATAGAAAAGAAACTAAATTTATCAGTTTTCACACTGGATGTTATCTCAGTATTACATAAATTTCTTGGTGGGGGTTTAGGATAAGAGGACATATCAAATGTTTTCCCTCAGCCTATTGTCACCACTGTGATAATGGTTCTATCCAGCATTTATAAAGAAAAGTGGTGGGACGATGGAATATTCTCTCCTCCAGAGCAGAGCTGAGGCCTGTTACATTCATGTTTATCTCTTCACCACCACTACCTAGTACAGGACAGCTGTCACATGTGACACACTAAAATATTTATGAATGAAAGGTTATTCACTTTCTGGAGATCCATTTTAATGAGTCAACCAAGATAGCTAAGCAACCCAATGTGAAGGCAAATGCAAATTTACCACTCATAAAAGATTACTGAAAATACTTTATGACAGCACATTCTGGAATAGTAAATGGGTTTTTACCTATACTTTTTTTAAATGTTTCTAAATGAAATATTTTAAAACATGGTATCTTTCCACCCACCTCTACCAGATATCTAAGTTGCAAAATTTTATTGGGCTTGGAAAGTTAACAGTATTTAGGTGGTAGTTGTGTAATTCCACTAAACAAATTCAGAATTTGCATAGCTTGGTATGTAGATGAAAGACCATACAAAATTGAGTAAAACTACTGACTAAGTGGTATGAAGATGTGGTTTTAATGAGAAGGAATCTTAGAGACTCTTTTTCTTCTCACCCTATATTAAGCTATTCAACAAAAATTGAACTTTTAACATATCTATAAATAGTTCGTATGTTACCAGTATATTTCATAATGTGATCTGATAGTACTATCAGTACCCATTTGATAGTACTATCAGTACCCATAAACATCAGGGGCACAGAATTCCATAATAGGACTAGAAAAACACAATGCAATATATAGATGATGTATTATAGAAATGTACACTTGAAAGCTATATAATTTTACTAACCCATGTCACCACAGTAAATTAAATTAAACAAATAATAGGAAAGAAAGAAAATTACAACTCATCATCACTATTTATTAAGCACCCTCCTGTGAATGGCATTTATACTCTCTCGGAGAGACTCTAAAGTAATAAGGTAACTAAAGCAAAGCAAACAAACAAAAACAACCTCGTAGTTTCCTACGAAGGAAGTGGAGTGGGGGGCATCACAAATTAAACTCATGTGTAGTAATAGACATCTCGTGTTGAGCTAATGTTGAGTATAAACCAAGGCATCAGAAATGATCCTCACAAAGTATCTTTTGTTTTGTGATGACCTCTGTTCTAGTCTATTTTTTATAATAAATTTGTTGGGGCCTGGGGAGTGGTGAGGGTGAGAGGAACAAACATGAGTTGAGTGCATCGGAAGTGCCAGCCACTGCACTGGAAGCTGTACAACTTCCTGAATCCTCATGTCACCCTGAGGGTCAGGGACTGTCCTGTTGTACATAAGTTGACTGAGAACGCTTTGCCTAACATGGCCCAGCCATCAGTAACAGACTCAGAATTAAACCAAAGTAACACTGTCAAGCCCATGCTCCCCGCAGTAATGTGCTACTTTCACAGGAAAGACTTTCTTACTGCTTTTTTTTTTTGAACACTAGACATTAACTTGATGTAACAACTGAAAGAAAACATAGCCTTCTATGAACCCTTACAAAACAAAATTACATTATCTTATATCTTTAAGTTGCCATAATAGAAAAGACAAAATTCTCATGTTTGCCTTAACACTTTAATGTTGTGATATTAAAGTATGATACATTTAGGATAGCCTGAAACCTGGAAAGCATATTTTGGGAAGAAGCAGCTATATAATGGTACATTGCCATCCTCTAGTCTTCTGTAGTCATTTCAATTTTAAACACCAGAGACTTCCCAGCACCCCATCCCGCAAGGCTCTGCTAACAAAATCAGACCACTTGCTGCTACAGTTGCCGACTTCCTCAAAGCAGTTATATATTTCAGTGTCCCTCAGGGTCCTGGGGTCTGTAATGCTAGATCATTTTAAGAGTAGGCTAAGAAAAGTGACTGAAAACAGCCCTTTCTCCTTCCCCATATCTGTTTATTTCACTGACAAAAACAAGTTTTACAAGTATTTGCAAAACCACTGGAGCTTTAGATTAATTAGCTTTTTTGCCTTAATGTAGCTAATTCACAGTGACAATAAAGTATGTCTAATAAATACCAGTTAACATCCCTAGACTTTAAAAAATGTGGGAGGAAGATTACTACAAACGTCAACATTTCTGAATATTTTACATCAGCAAAAGCCTAAATGTTTGTGTAATTACAAGTTCATTTTTCAGAGGATCCTTTTTTTTTTTGCATATGATAAAAATTGTTCCATTTCAGGGTCTCTAAATAATTGGCAAAACACTGAACTAGCTAACTTATGGCAATTTAACTAAAGCTTTTATAGTGGGGAAACTACAAGATGGAAAATTTTCAACTGAGTCAGTTCCAGTGATTAAAACAAAATTGTATAAACATTTGTTGCCACACATATAGATTACTTATTAGCTCTTCATGCTTATTATGTTCTTTGATATCAAAGCAAAGTTTTATAAATCAACCAATGGAGAAATGGCATGATTGGGAGGCTAGATGATGTTTCAAAGTGCATTTCAGAATTTTCACTCAAATTGACGTATTCAACAAATATTTGGTTTCCTACTGTGTGAGACAAGGTTCTACATGCAGTGGAAAAAAACAGATGCATTATTTCTTGCAGTGTTCTTTTAAAAGTTTCATAATTAATTACATGGATTTGTGTCTGAGGAAAAAATTATTCTAAATATTTATTGAAAAATACATTTTTTTCTTGTCATTCTACCTAGTATAATTATTTTCTGAAAATAATTTATTTTAAAATGAAATTAAGGAACACATTTTATAACATATCAGAATGGTAATGGAATGTTTCTAATTAAAAAGTTTATGAAATTTCTTCCTTGTGTAAATTTTAGGATTTCTTCACATAACTAAAAAAATATCATGCATCAAAATATGTAGGAAAAAGATATAGTAATGATTAATTTTTTAATTCTAAAAATGACATGTTTAGAATATATGTAGTAAGTCAACCAAGCTTTTAGAAACTAATAAACTACTGGAAAATTTTTTTATTATTATTACTATTAATTGCATTATACAGGTTCTGTATCTCCATTTGATTTAAATATAACCGGGGCATGGAGAAATTTTTTGACTGGATTACTGGGGACAAAATAGTCTTCTATCTAAACTCTTGAAATCTCATTAACTGAGAAAATTGGGGTAAAAAAGAAATCACGAGGCTACAGATTTCTCAAGCAATCTTTTGTTTAAGTGTAAGTCTCTCTGGTGGTCCTGTGGGCACACTGGGGTCTCTGCCGAGCTGATAATTCATTTCACACGTTTGCACCTGCTCTTGCAGCCTCACAGAGAGGGCACAACTGCTCAAGAACGTCTTTAAGAAGAATCACGTAAATTTGTACCGGTCTGAATCATTGCAACAAAACTTGCTCCGTAAGTATTTGAGTTCTTTTTTTGTTGTTGTTTTTTGTTTTTTGTTTTTTTGTTTTCGTTTTTTTGTGGTTGTTTTTTTTTTATTTTGCATTACTTCATAGCATTCTGAGGGCAGTATTTTGACTTTAGGGATATTTAACTATTTTAAATTAGCACCTAAAACAAGTTTTAATATTTTGCAGCATTTTACGTAAATAATAAATGTTTAGAGAATCCTGTGACCACAACCATCTCACTTTTAGCAGAAGAGATAGGGCACTTTAATATCTTGCTGCTTTCACTTAAAGAAAAATATTTCCACATGCTCCTTGCTTCCTTACATCTTAAAAAGAACCACTAAAATAAATCTTAACTCTTAAAAGCTCCTTCTGTATTGTTATCTTTTCTACTTCAATAACTTTGCAAGAGCCTTTTCAGCTTTCATACAGCACAATCAAACATATATTTTCCCTTTCAAAAATATTTATGAACATTTAGAGTTGTAAGAAATTACTAGGTGTCATGCCCTCTTAACATTTCAAGAACCTAAAAAAAAAGAATATAATATATAAAGCCCTGTAGTAAATGTATTTGTGTTCGTAATATATCTTTTGTTTCATGTTGTTTCTACATATAATTTATTTATATATATATATATATATATATATATACACATACATACATACATACACATGTTTAATGCTTTTGCTCTTTGTATTTCAAGAGGCCTTTCCTAAAGATGTGATCCCCTTGGGGGCCATTTCTTATCCACACACTGCCTCCAGCCACAGTGGGTCTTGAATGAGTTTATATGTACCACTTTTCTACCATTCACAGTTATATGTGCTTACCTCCTGCTCACTTTTATTCTTTCTTCCCTCCCATTCACCTGATCTATGCAGATAGATGTATGTGTGCCCACTTCATTAAACTCCCTACCCCTCTGGTAGTCAGGAATTCAAAATTAGATGGGTTGGACTTGAGATGCTGAATGGAGAAGTGAGGGGGGTTGAGAGTGCCTGCTCATTCATCTAGGGAGCAGAACTCCTAGAATCTAAACCAGTCATCCCACTCTTAATTTTGCAGTTGAGTCTGTGTCTTTTCTGGACATTAAAAATTAGCGTCTTCCTGCTTTTGAAGGTGGGACGGATGCATTAGTTCTCCAAGTTAGAAAATGGGCACTCAGAACTCAGAATTACAGCGATTTCCAGTGACGTCATGATGATCATTTCTATTTTATCTTTGACTTACAGATGGGTATGCTTTCTCTCAAGATGAAAATGGAATCGTCTCACAGTCAGAAGTGATTAGAGCATATGATACCACAAAGCAGAGACCTGATGAATGGTGATGGAGAGGGGCTGCCAGGCAGGCCCTTCTGCGTCTCTAAGGAGAGCTCCCAGGTCTTCACTGGAATCTGCTGACCAATTCCAGCCTGGTCCAAGGAGGGGAAAGGTGGATCTGAGCTCATCTCATTGATTGACAGTCAGATTCATGTATATTATAGACATAAGCACTGTGCAACTCTACTGTAACACCATCTCTTTCCGATTTTTTTTAAGGATTTGCAAAGTCTTTGTAAACAGAAATTGAAAACGATCTTGTATCTTGCCAGAGTGCTTTCTTAAACTGAGAATAGGTCAGTATTCTTAAGCCGTTACTCTGGGGCTGTAGCTATCAATCTACTGGACATACCACAAGGTGACCAACCCTTATAACACCCTGAAATGGTAATAAGGTAAAGGGACTCTTGATGTCCAGATTTAGATTTCAGAATATGCTGAAAAAAAAACAGCATTCTTAAGGAACTAACTCACCTTACTGAGCAAAATTTCTAAACAAGACATTAATAAGTGTTTGTGTCAAAAAAAATTGTCTCGATAAATGTTTGCCAAAGAAGTTCAATAAATGTATTTCTCATTCAGTAGTCATTTGCCCAGAAATTTAAGAGAAAATTTACCTCCAGTTCTACTGTAAGCTCGGCATGCTTGACTTTTCCAATGTAAGAGTGATTTGAAAAAAAAAAAAAAATGAGTATTTCAAGGCATTTGCTACTAAAATCTGTGATGTTGCACCTTCGGCCTTACAAATGCTTTTTTTGTGTTTGTCTTGTTTCTTTGTTCAAGTTAGAAGGCACACGTGATAATGTGACTATCATTACGATACTGATTTTTAAAACTGTATTTATGTCTCAGTCATTTCTAATGAGATGTCATCATTTAGATTTTTCTAAAACTCTGGCTTCTACTGTAGACTGAGTGGTGTCATTTTGTCTTCAAGTTTTCTCTCGTATGAAAAATATGCTTCCATATTCATGTGGGATTTCTAATGCTTCTGTCGAGACATTTGAAATATCATGTCGGGTAAGTGCATGGGCTTTTGTACTGTGTTTGGGTTCTCCGTATTAGTTCCCACTAGAGATGCCTGCTGTCTTATGTAGCACACCCCGTGTTATGCTAACTGCCCTATACTTAAGACTGAGAATTACTTCACAGTTCACTTGTCAAATAGCTCCCAAAATTATTCACAGGCTGCTAACTGGGACAAATAAGTAGTACGTTTTCCCCATTTTAAAAACACCTTTCTTGCTCAAGCCTAGAACTTTACCGTCAACACACTTTTCATCGTGAGTAGGTTTTAACATGCTTTAAAACGTTCTGTTCACTTTAATTATTTTCAACATTTTCAAGACATCCGAACATGCCGATTTTATCACCAACAATAAATGGTGGGGGCTGTTCAGAAACCACAACCAGTTTTCTACACTGTTTTTAAAATAATGCTTTCATTTAGAAAAAAATAAAAAGGAATTCTAGTTTTCAGATACACTTCAGAGACTGAAGCAAACTTTTTGCCTTTTATTCAAAAGCCTGTTTGCCTTTAAGTGGACTTACCAGCACAATAGGTAGAACTTCCTCTTTAAAAAAAAAAAAAAGTCAACTAGACCTGAGAAATGATTTTCCAAATCACTCCTTGAGTTTAATATATTCACATTCTCTTCACCCTTTTTGTCAATCTATATTTAAAATTAGGCTATTTATCACTTCCTTCTCTGTATTTTTAGCTATTTAGTTATAAGCATGCCTCCCACATTTTCTACAAATAAGAGAGGCTGTAACACATACATAATTCTAACCTGAAAGGGGCAAGGAGTTGACACATTTCAGTTCCCAGGCCCTTCCCATTTGGGGTTCAGATTAAGAGAATCATGAATCAAAACATCTAGCAAGACCACAGGTGTAAAATCGTCTTCAAAATTCTGAAGTCGCAGCCTTTAACTGTCCACCGAATGTATATTCAGAGCGGCTTTTCTGGGCCTCCCAGCGGTGATACTTGAAGTCAAACCACATAAGTCAAAAAACAAGAATGACATACATCCCTCCAGAGAAAACCTAATAGCAGTTACAGAGCACAGCTGCTTCCATTTGCCTTCCCCTCACCAGTGGTATTCTTCTCCAAAATTTTAATATCAAAAGATGATGAATATAATAAAACTGATTTAAGAAAACTCAAAGTTTGATCTTGAAACATGGATTTTTTTCCGTAGAGCTCTTCAACATGAATAGAATACTCATGGTTAATATTGTACAGGATTATGATCTGAGATATGACTGATTTGTGCTTTTTTTGTCCCATGGCCCTATATTTGAATTATCAATATTAAGTCCATTTCTTTGCTTCCTGAGTGGAAGTTGGGGGTGGGCAGCAGGGAATGACCTGCTTGGTAAAACTTAAAATACAACACTGCAAATGCAGTGACTTTAGAGTGTTAAATTAGAGAAAACCCCCTGTTTTTTTAACCTTGCTTAGGAGGAAAAATGTAAACCGTTTTACCAGGATTAAAATAAACAGTTGAAGTGACTTTTAATATATATTTTCTGAAATAAAGGACACATGCTCTTCAGTTAAAAAGTCCCTTGTAGGGACTCTCACAAATGCTAACATCATTGCTTTACAATGTTTACAATTCAGAAAATACTACTTTAGAGCAGAAAATCCTCACTCATTTCACATTGAAAAGCTAGGAATTGCTTCTTTGACATTGAATAGTACACAGTGATATTAGTATGAACTTTCTAAATGTCATATACACACACACACACACACACACACACACAGAGGGTGCCAAAAAAATTATACACATTTTAAGAAAGGAAAAAACTGTATTAAAATTGTCATACTCAATATATACTGATAACAAAAGATGAATACAAGTCATGTGTATAATTTTTTTGGCACCCTCTGTGTATATGTGTCTCACACCCAGAAAGATGCTATATGGTAGAAATTATCAGCAGGAAGACGGTGTTTCTCAGGAATGTAGTAAATTTAAAATAGTATATGTGCTGCCCATCCTCCCACACCCCACCCTATGTCTGATATGAGCCTGCTTCGGCAGTGTTGCAAAGTTAATGGAAAACTTTTCCAGTCAAGCCAGGTGAACACCTAGTCAGCTCAATAATATTATCCATTGACATGAATTGTATTATCATTAAATGGAATCAGTGATTCCTCTTAATTTCCAGGGGGAAAAAAATGCATTCAAGAAATCAATATTTATTCTGATCATTACATTTTATTTTTTGATTTTGCAATTCAGCATTCTAAATATTCAACATGAAAGTCACATGATAGTTTGTTGTGCATTGTGTGAACTATACATCACTTATAATCTGTCATCTAAAACATTCTTTCAGAAAATGAATGCTAGTTTGAAAGTAATAGATTGTATATTTGTAGTTTTTAACTATTTATAAAAATGTCATTATTACAAAGCTAAATAATCATTAGTGTTTATTTTTGTGCAGTTGTCCTTTGATAGTTCCTGGTTTTAAAATTAATATCAAATAAATCTATATTCTCATAATCATCTACAAAATCAAGAAAATGCCCACCCCATTCACATCCTGTGGTCCAGGCCTATGAATTCTTTTCATCAACTGTTTAATGTAACACCATGCAGCTCAGTACCTAATTAATGCTTTTTAATGATGAACATTTCTATCATGCCTTCTGAAGAGACCATAGTCTGATTTTTCTCACATTAAAATAACTGAGTCACTTGTGAAACTTCATTACACTTTGCTGCATTTTAATTAACCTTCAACAGCTATTAAAATGGAATGTAAGATAAATTTTGAAGGAAAGGAAATAAATGTTTTCCATTTTCCATCTTGATTTATTTTCTGTATGAGAGCAGCTGTGTTTTTGATAGGTTTATGGTTTGCATGAATTAATATTTAAAGTGGCCTAAGCCCATGCATGGCTATTGCTGTAAATCTTGATGTTTATTTCTGCCTTATAAAATTCTGTCATGGCTTACCTGGAATTTAATATTCAGTGGACAAATTAACTGGTCCTCTGCACAACTTTTTTTTAATAAGTAAATTATTTTACAAATTTGAACAAATTTAATTGAAACTTTTGTTTAGCTTGCCTCTGAGAACTTTTCTTAGTGAAGCTCACAAAATGTCTCAGCAAATAAATCTCCCTTAAGTAGGAAAAAAAGCTAGATTTCATACTTGCTTACTTTGAATTACCAGCAATTTTCCATAGGTAAATCTGCTCTTACAAAGATGTGATTAGCATATTTAAAAATCAATAAATATTTTTATGTTTCATGATTCTAGAACAGAAGCCATAAATTCAGTAAATACTGTTTGTTGTTTGTATTACTACTTCAAGCTTCATTTTTCAGATTTTCAAGTTTATTAGGTTAAAAAAGAAAGGCCGCCTTGGAAGGCAGCTACTATGGAAAATTGCAGTTTGCATTAAAGATAAAGTAGTATTTCAGCTCCATGAAAAATCATTCCTGCTGAAACCGGTAGAAATTGTGAAGCTGCATGAGTGGAGAGTGTTGAATCTGTGATTATAGTAGTTTTCTCAGGTTTGTTTATCTCAATGTTCAATGCACTGTGTTTTATAAATAGTTATTAAAGTTGAGTAATATTCAATTCTATGCAGTGTTACGTGTCATTGGCCTTTTGTGAATGTGCATGTTTTAAACTGCAAATTTTAAACATTTTGTCCTCTAATTGTTATTAAAAATGAAATAAACTTTACCATTACATAAAGAAAATTGTTGAAGTTGTAATTGCTAGTTTTAGAAACTATATTGCTTTATAAAACCTTCAAACCCACGTAACTATATAGTCTGTGAAGGTCTATCCTTTTAATAGCATTGTTAACATATCTTTTTTACAACCCTAGTGATATATAAAAGACCCTTCATTTCTTTTCAGCCAAAAGAATCCTAACATGGAGCATATTAACTCTAGTTTATAGTAAGGGTAGTTTTGATAACTGAATATTAAAAAAGAATTTTTAAAATAAAATTACTGTATTTTTATTCTTCAGTCAGAAAAACCTTCCAGGACTGCCTCCATTACGTATTTAAATTAGCCTGCAAGTCAATAGCTGACTCATGGCCCCATCTTTTTAGGTAAGATGAATTTCTTAGGTTTTCTTTAAACACACCAAATTTTTTTTAAGTTCATGAGAAAGTGGCCAAGTTTAGCCAATAGCATTTGAAAGAAGTAACCAGAAAAAATATTAAATTGCCATGTGAGACAAAAGTACAGGAAACATCGGAAACAAGGACAAGAGTTTTATCAAAAATTAGCACCGTTGGGTAAAAAAGGAACAACTGAAGCTGCGATCGTGTTCGGTGCTAGAATAGGATTCGTTCACAGAGAGGCACTGAGGAAGCGATCGGAGGAGCCTCTGGGTTTATGAGCGTGAGGCAGTATGCGCTTAGCTGGCCCGTGTCCTTCCCCACAGTCTTCCCAGGGTAAAGGGTTGGGTGTGGTGGGTCCCCCAAGAAAAACCACAGCAAAACAATGTACAGAAAAGTTAACTTGTGAATTATATCAAATGATTTTCACCTTCACCTTTTTCCCTTTAAAATAAGCACGGTGCTTATAGTGACCCTGTCGTTCAAGATGCCTTCTAATACTACCATAAGGAAACAGCACATTTGAAATACACTCCCGTAAAGTCAATACGACATCCCCTTT